CCCCCCCCAGCAGCGAACAAGTTGTTGGAACCTGTTAATTTTGCTTTGAAGGACAGGGAGAATTAGAAAACAAATTCTGCTTTACTCTATCAGAATGCTACTAATCATTAAATACACCATAAATGTTTTGTATTCAAGTAGAAGACTGAATTTACCATCTATTTCAATGTTTTCCACCTCTTGGATATTTTGGTTCATGAATTCCTTACTTTTTGTGCTTGTCTAGCTGTCCAGAGCTTTCCTATGCATCTTTCATATTCACAGTGGATCCAGGTAAAGAGAAATAAGTGATATTCCCTCTGTCTTCCTTCTTGCTCCTGCTCCTAGCAATAACTTTTCTTGTCCAGATTACGTGTGACTTGTCAGGAGACATAGGAAATTATTCTGATGGTAGTATCCGATGAAATTGCCAAAATACTGATGCTTGCTTATTGTATTTGGTTTACCTGTCTGGCAAGACTTTTTCCAAAATAGGAGAGGTCAGTTCCTGAGGTTACCTTCCATGAGGTTGTTCATACTCAGTTGTTGCATCTCAGTGCTTAGCTCTTGTAAATTTAAGTCAAAATGAGTCTAGAAATAAGCATTGCTGTCTGAAAGTGGGCAAGAGAAGCCTGTGGCATGGGCTCTGATTTTTTGGAAGTTGTTGGCACTACTGGAGACATTTTTGTCTTATCAATCTAAAATGTATAAGTAATTGTATTTGGAGTGTGCTCAGATCAATCAACTTAAATGTAGTCTTGATTTTTGTGAACATCAATTGTATGTGATGTTAGGGGCAATTAAAGATGAAGTCTTCACAATATATTGCTAGTGATAACAATCAGTGTGGGTGTAGCCTGATGTAGTCTTCAACATCTGTTCATGTTTGAGTTTCAAACAAAAGGCATCAAAATTTCAAAACGCTGCCATTACCAAAGCATGGCTGAAAACTTCATATTTGTTTGAGAACAAACATGTATCAAAGACATATTTTAAAAATTATGTTTTCAGCCTTGCACTTTCGAGCTAAACTGCATTTCTCTTTCACCTAAACTATTATGATGATGATTTTTGTAATATTACTAGTAAAAAAAAAAAAAAAAAAAAAAAACACTCGCGCGGGGGGGAGGTGGTGGTGCTAGAAAATGTTTTGGCAGTTCCACCATCTGAAAACAAGCTGGTGTTTGAGTATATGCACATCAGACCTTGAAAAAACTTAGTGTGAAAAAGAGTGATGGGAGGAGAGTTTGAGCTAGTTTCAAGCACAGAAAACTAAATCTTGAGGTTCAACCAGCTGGAATTCTTTAGCGTAAGTATTATAGGTATTCCTATTTTTCTTAGTAATATTTGGAGTTTACAAATATGGGTCAAGCTTGTTCTGGACCTTCTAAAAACAAAGAAAACAGTAGGTACAGAAAGCTTTCAGGGCATCCTAAAATAGTTTAGATTGGAAGGAACATCTGGAGCTTGTCCAGTCTCCTGCTCAAAGCAGGGTGAACTTCAGTACTACATCAGATGGCTCATGAGCAACCCCACCCTCATGGGAAAGGAAGAGGTGTGGCATTTTGTTTTTTCCTGTTTTGAGGTTTTGTTTCCCCATATACATAACCAGAATTTTCACTGCTACTTGTCTATTGCCTCTTGTCCTTCTGCTGTGCCCCTCTGAGAAGAGTCTGGCTATCTTCTCTATACTTTCTTCTCACCCAACCCCTTCTCTTTAGGTAGTTGAAGACTGCAGTTGGATTTCCCCCTTTGCCTTTTCATCTACAGGTTGAACAAACACAGTTCCCTCAGCCTCCTCTCATATATCCTGTCCTCCAGCTGCTGACTGCCTTGGTGGTCTTTACCTGGACTTGATCTGGTATATGAATGTCTGTCCTGCACTGGGGAGCTAAAACTGGATACAGTACTCCAGATGTGGTCTCACAAATGCTGAATGGAGGGGAAGAATCACTTTCGTTGAACTGATTGCTATGCTGTTGCCCAGGATAAAGTTGGCCTTCATCACACAAGGATGCAGTATCTGCCCACGTTCAGCTTGTCTACTAAGTCCCTGGAAGCTTTTCTGCAAAGCTGCTTTCTATCCAGTCAGACCCCCCCACTTGTTTTGTTGCATCAGATCCGCCCACCCCGGTGCAAAATTTTGCATTTGCTTTTGAGCTTCATGGAGCCATTAGCCATTTCTTCAGTCTAACTGGGTTCCTTTGAATGGTAGCCATAACCTTTTGTGTTTCAGCTGCTTCCCATGATTTGTTATTGCTCACATACTTCTTGACAGTGGGACAGTGTGTGCCCTTCAGGATGCTAATGACAGTACCGAACAGTATCCGTGTTCCCTAGCTGTAACTAGCCACCACTTGGGCTTTGTACTGTTGATCGCACCTTTTGTGACTGGCAGTCCTACTGTTTTTCTATCCAGGTTGTAATCCAGCTATCAAACTCTGCTCTCTCCAGTGTGGCTATGAGTATAATGTGAGAAACTCTGTCACTAGCCTTGCTGTCCCATGGGATTCTGCAAAGCAGTTCCCAGAACAAGCTGAAGTTTGCTCTCGTGAGATGCAGAGTTGTAATTGTGCTGTTCATCCTGGTCACCTTAAATTCCTTCATTTCATGCCTGCCATCAGCTTTTGGCTTCACCACCAGCTTTTCTTTATTTATGACCACCATGACCAGTAGAGCACTTTCCTTAATTGGTTCATTGATCACCTGAATCGTTGTCTTTTTATTGCAATGTGACTTCTTGTTTTCACATCTTAGAGTATTTCAGAATAATTCATAAACAACTTGGTTTGCCAGAATGTTCTGTTCTGTTGTGGCTGTTCATATATTTCTGTTGACCTGCAAAAGCAAAGAGGAGTGTGTATGACCATGAATCCCTCTTATCCATGGAGGCCAACCTAAGCATATAATATATGTCCTCAAGAAAGGCTTAGCCTTTGAGAAGGCTTTTGCCATTAGGTGATTGGTTTTCTTTTGCAATCATCTGACTGCTCTGCCATTTAGCTTCCTTGGCAGCTGCAGATGCTGTGTACTTAGGGGTAATTAAGGATCAAAGAATAAGTAATTCCAGTGAGTTTTAATTGCTTTTGGTTAATTCCCCCATCTGGATGATTAAATAGTTCTGACAGATTGGATTAGACCAGAGTGGCTCTCTTTGTTTTTATCTACTTCCCACATGGTGGAGCCACTCAGATTACTGTGTTTGAGTTTCTAGTCAAACTACAAAACGTACTGGCATTTAGAAGATAATCATCTAGGTAACTGAGAATTCATATGTTAATTATTTTATGCATAGCCATTTCAGGATTGCAAGGTTTGCCTTTGAATGGGCTTGAAACCAGCACTTACCAACTGTTATCTTAGACCTCTGCCTAACCATTGTCCAGGAAAACTGCTGTTCATGTGGTGTTACAAATCATACTATATTTCTGTGCAGCTTCCTCCATCATGATTCTATATAACTTCTTTGTGTTAAAATTGATGAAGGATTGCAGTTGCTTTTATCTGTCATATCTGCTCAAGTTTTTGCCAAATATGTTCAGTTTCTATTAGGCCAGAGATTAGTACAGTTGATGTTGTCAAAGACTGACCAAGTGTTGCCTCCCAGCAAAGGCTTTTTCAGACTGTTTCATGTTGTTCAATAATTAAAGTGAGTAGCTGAATTCTGTGAAAATTCCTAGAAAAGTGCAAAGTAGAGAGATTGAGGCTGATATCTTTGCTTAACTAACTGATGTGAAATTTTACTTGTGAACTAGGTTAGACCAGACATCCCAAATTGAATTTGTTCATCTGAGTTGTATAAACAAATAGTTCTGTTAAAGGAAATTCATTCAGACAACCTATTTTCCATGCCTCACTATCACAAAAGTTTGAAAGCACAAGCTAATAACACATGAAACGGAGACTAAGCTACATGTACCAGAAGGGCTGCACGCACAGGTTCTGTGGTATAAGGAACTCTTAATTTCTGAAGTAGAACTTCATGTTCTAGGAGCCTGCTTTCCGAGACAAAGTGCTGAATAAAAACAAAATTTAAAAAGTACATAGATATTTCTGGCTGCCTGTGGAAATAAAGCCACTAAATATTGTGGAGGGGTATTTAGAACATTCAATTTAAAAAAAACGAAACATCTCTGATTATGATTTCTATTAAGCGAGTCTCACTGAATATTTTAATGACTCTGCTGTTTGTAGGTATGCTTCCTGAGAAGAAAGTACTGGGTGCTTCTGCTAAAGATTTAACTCCAAGGTAAACCTTTGTCTTTCATTGTCTGTTGAACATTCTGTTTAATAATTCTGTGCAGTTCCTAGTAAATGCAGGCAACTTCTTCCATGGTTAGTTCTTCATGTTCCAGCTAAATGAGGGTATATCATTACAATTCTCTTATAAGTAGGAAAGTTGAGGTTCAGGTTTAAACAACTTGCCAAAGGTCATATTGACTGTACAGGCAGGTGATGATGCAAGGTTCTTGGCTTGCTCTGCTGGTTTCTAACACTTGCACTGCCTTGCATCGTATACAAATGTATAGCTTATATTTGCAGGCTCCTCAGCCTTGCTTCTTGAGAAAACGCCTGGAAAGTAATTCCAACTGGGCTGATTACTTTTTTTACTTTAGTTAATTTGTCCATAAACATATGAGTTGGCATGCCTTGGAAAAGGACTTCATTTCAAGCTGGAATATGTTAAGATGTGATAGCTGTATTCAAGTCTGTACGATATGCAAAGCAAAGCAGGCCCTAGAACCCCACTGTGAAATGCCCGCTGTTGTCACCAAGGTATCATTTTATTCCATGATGCCTTGAGTTGCCAAGGTTCAGTTTCTCACTTTGCATCAAAATCACCTGTGAATGTGTAATCTCTAGGCTAGTTATGTGCAGTCATATAAAATACTGTGGCTTGTGAGCAACTGGAGTGTGTCTTCTGGAGCGCTCTCCGAACGTTGCTGCCTTTCTTCCCGTGTATGTCTGGCATGTTCCTGTGTGTGACTGGAAGGTGCGCAGCCTAGAACGTGTTGGCTGTCAGGAGTGTCTGCTGGAGGGGGCATCCTCCCTATCTGCCTTCTTTTCTGGTCCAGGAGTCCAAACAGTAGACGGAAGTGGTTAGGACATTGGGGAAGGGAGAAGACAGTAGTAGCGTAGATGCGAGGGGTTAACTTTGTTGTGTGGACAGAGTTGACTTTCACTGGCTGGGATTGCAACCCAGCTGGAAGTCAAGTGAGAACTATAGGTGTCTGTGGTGGAGAGCCAGGCATGAGATTGTCAGATGTATGGTCCCTGTGAAAACAGGTAGAGAAAGGAACAGCTTTTCTGGGATTGGGTGGGTAAGTTACTTCTTGGTAAGTGTAAGGCCATACAAACAATTAGCATTTGAAGGCTTTCTGTTTCTTACCTTGCCCTGGATTTATTACAAGGTTTGGGCAGCTTGGGAACACAGGAATGTAAAATCTTGATTTTGGGAGATGAAGGGAACTGTGGTTTTGTGGTATGTGTGTGGAATCTGTAACTCTTGGAAGCCATGCTGGCTATTTAATGCTTTTGTCTGGAGTCAAGGATTTTAATCATCTTGTTAGGAAGGCTCATATGCTGCAAAGAGGATGCACGTGCTTTTTAAGTAAAAACAGTGCCATTTAATTTTAGCTACAATGTGCTGACTATCGGGATGCATAATTAGACTGTTCTTATTTTAATAGTCTTTTCAAAATTATTGGCTCTGGACTGAATCTCTTAAAAAAAAAAAAGTAAATAATGTATTTGGCTTGTAAATTCATGAAAGAAGCTCTGCTTGAAAACTGCTAATTAAATATATTTTGGTATGCCCAAAGTATATATTTTTTCTTCACTGTATTTTTTGATTTACAGCTGTGACTGGTTCCAAACTGATAGTTCAATCACCATTGTCATATATACTAAGCAGAAGGTAAGTGTATTTTATGAAAGGGAGAAATACAAGGTCCAGTTGTGATCCAGCTTGAATTCTGGGAGAAATTTATTAAAATTTTTTTTTTCCTTGCCTATGAAAGGTTATGAATGCAGAGTTGGTGACAGTTGACTGCCAAGGCAAACAATTAAGGGGAGAGATCATTGTGGATGACCACTCATATGTTGTAGAAGTTGGTAGGTACTGTAATTTTGCGGTTGAAAATACTGAATTTTCATTCTACTTTATTAAAACCTTCTCATCACATCATGTATATTATACATATACCAATTAATGTTTTATTACTCTTTCATTAGAGATGACTACTTTAAAATACCTTGATGTAAAGGAATTACATTGTTTATCAACTCACATCTTCATTTGTTTAGTATGTACTTAATTTTTTACACGTGGAATAAGGTGTAGTAAGAAATTGATGTAAAAGTCGTGTAGAGTTTTTCTTCAAGTGTGTTTTCGATGGTTATTAAAATGCCCATATTCAAAAAGGGCAAGTGGAATGATTAGGTAAATGCAGATTGGTAGCTTTACATGATTCATTGTTAAAAGTAATGGGGAAATGATGCCTTTAGGCCTGCAGAAGTCACTGGGAGTGATATGATGCACAAGTGAAATTTCAGGGCCAGATAAAGATGCATAGGGTTCTAGGCTCATTAGTTCACTCAGTATTTCTAGCCTTAAACTGTATGTATATATGATAACTAGAATGTAATTTTGGTTTTGTTTAAAATAGAGTTTGTTTCTTTTTATTTCAGACTTGGATCATGCAGTTCAAGAAGACTTGGCTGGTAAATTCCATCTCTTGCAGTATTTTGGTATCTCTTCTAATATCAGAATGTGGAACTTCAATTTATTTTTCTGGCTCATCAGATACTTTAGTTTTCGTTACCACAAGGTTCTGACACGGTCAATCAAATCAAACCATAACATTGAATAATTTTTTTTTTTTAAATTGTGGCATTTGGGCCTGTGAAAGTAATAAGTTGATGGTGCTCTGATCCCTCTGAGTATGACTGAATGTTAAAATGATTAGAAGTTAGTTCTGTTGTGTATTTCTAAACTGTTCTTTGCTTAGACTGGGATTTTTTTGGATTTAATTATTCATTCAAATGCTCTTGAAATGAAAGGAAGAAGTAAATAGTGGTAGTTACCAATTTCCAGTAAATGAGGACTCTGAATTCATGAGCATTCTTTTTGACAAGATGGGCTGTGAAGCTTTTCACAATGTTTTTAGTAAATAAGATATGTTAATTATGCATATAACAAGCTAGTGCTTGTTGTTTTAAATGCATTGTAAAACATTATAAAGAGATAGCTGGAAGTACATTTAATTTGATAGTTTAATTTAACAGATTAATTCCATGTGTCGTGAGAAATGACTAATCCTTCTAAAATTTCATTATAATGGAAGAGTAAAATTTTTTTTTTTGTACAAAATGTAACTAAATGTAGCAGTGTGAAACCTTTTCTCTTTTAGTGAATATTGCTGAAAAAGTTGGGAAAGTAGAGATTATCTTAAAGAAAAAGGATAACATTCATTGGAAAATGCTGGGACAGCCCTTGGAGAGTCATAATACATTTATCAAACGCATGGACAGAGGTAAGCAGTTTCATGGCCATGTTACCAGTTGTTTTAAGACTTTTTGTGGCATGTTAGGCATATTTGGTTTCTCCCAGGATTTTCTTTTCCTGTAGTCATACTTCATTTCTTTCAGGAATGTTCTCTCGTCTTGTTGAAAGCTGCTCAGGAATTCTGCTTGAAAGGGTTCAGTTTAGAGGTGTTTTTTTGCTTTGCTTTGCTGGTTTTTTTTTTGTCCTGCAATAGAATTGGAGGTCTTCCAGTCTTGTGGAAAGACTGGAAGAACATAGTAGAGGAAGGTGAAGACTACTTGAGTGTTGTTGCATCTCATGGCTACCTGTGTGCTTAATATGCTTTCTGTGCATATGAAAACCTCAGTAGACCATGAGGAGATAGTGCATGGCCTTGTCTCAATCATTATAGGCGTAACTGTAGTGAAGGCACAAAAACCTCTGCTTCCAACTGTTACTGTAATGTAGTAACATCTTTCAACACTGTAATGTTGTTACAGCACACTGCATCTTTGTTACTTGAGCTATGATTAAACAAGGCACTTCAAGCTATGTGGAGGTATCAAAGCCAGCTCTGAATAAGCTGATGTGTCTGCAAGAAGCCGTAGATGTTGTGTATGAGTTCATTTTGTGGTAACAGAATAGTGTGAACTTGATGCAGCACCAAAGTGTATTACCCTGATAAGCGTGCTTCTTTTTTTACAGCTAAATTAAAAATTTCTGTACAATTACATTATATAATATCAGCATGCTCCTGATGTTATTGCAGCTGTCCAGTTTCTCAAAGGCCCTCTTGGCCCTCTGTCTAATAATGCTCAAAAGTTGCTTGTTCGATGTTAGTCTGCCTTATTATGTGTGAAAGCAAAGCTGTACATTTTTAAGAGCTAATTAAATGCTGATCACCGTGTTGTACACCTCTTAGTGGCTCTCAGTTATGCTACTTAGGCCTTTAATTTGAGAGATTGCTGTGGTACAAAAAGGAAGACCGACTGCATAAAAAAGCACATCTCTTTAGCTACCTTTAGCTTATGTAGAATGTAATTTCATTATGAGAGTTTCAGAAACTGTTGAGTCATCCACTTTAATATTAGATTTTTCAATATAATCCTCTGTATTTAAGGGGATACAGCCTGGACTAATACGTTGTCCACTGTCCACTGCTCATTTTCTCCCTCCTTATTTATCACTTTTCACAATTATGGAAAACAAAATGATAAAATAACCAGAAATAACAAGAGGTGTAGAATATAGTGGCTTTATAGATCCTTTGCAAATGAGGAAGTTGAGGATGATTGGATGCAATGGTCAGAAATCTGAATTGAGCATGAGTAACCAATGCTTCCTAGATGATTATTCTGCAGTTTTTTCCAAGAAGTCAGTCTCCAATATAGCATTTGTCATGTTATGGAGAGAAGTGTTATAGGTATGGGATAACTTTATTGTGTACCACTGACTGACTGCATTCAGATCCATTTAAATTGAATTTCCAGAAAACTTAAGTTAAAGGGCTTGCTGAGTATGAGTTTCTTCAGTTCTCTGATTACAAAGGTGATGAATCTAGCAAATACGTTGATTTCTATGGCTTTTTAATCCCTAGTCCAGAAACTCTTATTCTGCAGTTTTTAATTTTAAAACCCCAAAATTTTAAATTGAATGTGCCAGAAAGTTTATAGAGGAAGAATGTTCAGGCCTAGATGTCTTTCCTTTATTCCAACCCTGTGCTTTCAGCTCAGCCATAAAATCTATGTGTTGGAGGCTTCTGTTCACTTAGTTTAGTCTTAAGTAACCACTCTCTGTTTCTGCTTAGAATTGTGCTCCCTTACTCTAAATTGCAGAGTTTTCAATTTTGCTTCCACTTCTGAGGGAGCAAAATAATGTTATGGGTGAAGAAACTCATACCTTGCGCAGTGTGAGCACAGAAATAGTAATTAACAACTCGAGATAATTTCCTTGTCTTTATTGGCTGTGCAGTTGGTTTTGTATGCAAAACTGCTTTTTCTGAAGCAAAGTAACTTTATTCTGGAAATAAAATAATCAAGACTTCCAGCCTGGTAAGTAATTCTGACGTCATAAATGAATTGATGCATTTTGTATATGAAGTTAAATAGATCTTTGAAAAGAAGGTTAGATTGTTCTTTGCTAAACTGCAGAAAGGCTTAGTATGAAGTGTGTTGCAGATACAGAGGTTCTCCTTAATACTACTTACACTTTAGTTTATTTTGCATGCTGGGATAGTAGTATTATCGAGGTTGTACGCATGTGGTTTACCTATTCACCTGTGCCCTCACTAGGAGCGCTTTTAACTCAGGCAGAACATAATGTCAGGTACTAGTAAAGTACAAGTAAACCCTGCAGTAAGATAGCATAAATGTGTACGCTGCTGACCAGAGTCTGATTCACTATAGATACTTAGCCACTTACACTGTGCCAGGGATGAGAGAAAGATCATCAAGGACTATAAACAGGGCAGAGGAAGGACATTCTAGTTTTGTAAATAGCTGTACTTTTTTCCCCTTAAGCTGGGAAAGTCAGGTATGACTTTCCCAGATAAATTGCCTATGGACTCTCAAATTCCT